TTACGATGGGAGAATGTTGACCGGTGTAAGAAGTACTGGGAAAAAAACTGGAGGCAGATGCTTGAGAGGAACCAGATTGAAGTGGCAATCCTAAAGAGTGACATTGAAGGTGGGGAGCTTCCAGCAAGGGGGACTTGGAAGCGAGTGTCTCCGGAGGAAGTGTGTGTGGCTTTTCACAGCTTGTGCCGTGAGGCTCTGGAGCAGAGCCGTGCTGAGGAAGAGGACTGGAAGACAAGGATCTTGAGCTGCCCAGTTCTGCTCACAGTCTTTGACTCGCTGCCGGCAGCACAATGGCACGCGCAACAAATTCGAGAAGATTCCAACCAGCAGGCATTCCTAGCACTGACATCGGTGCAACGGATCTTCGACTTCCAAAGAAGACGGCAAGAAATCGGGTCCCATGTGACGCCTGCAGAGATGGAGCAACTCTATAAGTCGAACTTGCCTCTCGGCAAATTAGTTATTATTGTTTTGTCGTTGTAGCAGGCAGGTTTTATTTGACTTTTTTTTTCTGAAATTTGGCGGTCCTGACCCGACAGTCGCATCAAGGACAGTGTCAGGCAAGAGTGAGTCCATCACATCCAATCTCATCGCCTGTGCCCTGCGAGTATGGGACCGTGCGTTCACGATTGGGCGGGTGCAGAAAGTCATCCTCGAGCAAGAAGCTCTCCATACCGAGTCAGTGTTCCAGGGAACCAGTAAACTGGATGGCATCGTGAAGAAATGTGCTTCAGATGCAGAGATCGAGTTCGTCTTTCTGCTGATGGCGGACTTGCAAAAGCAGGGCTTGCTAACAGCTGAGCAATGCACATCACGTGCATTGACGGGCACTGCATCCACACACCACAAAGGATTAGTAGACGTCTACATCATGAAGCACAAGATTCGCACACATTTGCTGGAGGAATTCTTGCGGAAAACCTCGACCGGCTGGTCAGAGAAGGTGATGCAGGAAGTGAAAGCGACCTGCCAGGACATTGAGGTCTTCCGGAAGCGTCTTGGAAGCACGTCTTCCCAGGAAGTACTACCGGATCTGGCATGGAAGGCGGGCTTTCCAGCCTCAGCTGATTGGTTCTTGGTCTTCGTGGAGGCCTGCAGAACAACCATGGGTCATTCAACTAATAACTAATAGTTGATTGTTTGAAACGCTTCCAACTAGTCAGTTTAGTTAGTTATTAAGTTAGTTACGGCATTTCATTTCAAATTTGGTTGACTGATTCGTTGCAACATGTCAGGAAGCCGTCTACAAGACAAAGTACGACCCCCAGCTCATGGCTGCGGTGCGGCAAAGCAAATCAGTACAGGATGTCCTGGATGATCAGAGTCAACCGCTTGCTGAGGAGCTTCGGGAATTTGAGGAATTGCTGAAGAAGGAGTTGCCACAGGCTTCGGTGGCAGAGACTCCACCACAGGAACAGGCCACTGATCCAGCCGAGAGTGAGGCAGCAACTTCGGAGGCTTTCAAGATGGTTATGCAGGACATCCTTCTCAAGCGGAACTCGGCCTCTCTGACGGAGGAAGCCACCGAGACCTTGAAGCTGGCCGAGCGGAAGTGCAGGGTCTTGTTGGACGCACATGTTGAATTACATGTCATGCCAGAATCCAACAAAGACATGTCGGAGCTCCTATCCAAATCCCCTGCAGCGTCGACTCGGGGTGACCATCACTCGGGTTTGGTGATGGTATGGGTGGACTTAGCGCAGACGGGCGAACCCATAACAGCTCCTCACACCAGGGTTTGCCCAATGAACTCCGTCACCGTCAAGCGCTTTTGCAGCGGTGTTGTGAAAAGCCGCGACAACAGTCAGTGCAGCTTGCATCCAGGAGATCTGTGGTGTTTTTGGGATTGCGGCCAGTTCAACTTGACCAAGGCCGTAGGCTGCCTTACCAACGAAGCTGGAGAGAAACTGACCACCCATGACCATTGTCTCACACTCTCATACGACTACGAGTCGTTGCGAGCAACGAGGGCTGTGAACCGGGCTAG